ATGCTAACCTCATTGGGGTGAGATGGTATCTCATTGTAGTTTTGATTTGCATTTCTCTAATGGCTAATGGTCATGAGCATTTCTTCATGTGTCTGTTAGCCACCTGAATGTCTTCTTTGGCGAAGTGCCTGTTCATATCCTTTCCCCGTATTTTAATTGCATTATTTGTCATTTTGTTGTTGAGGTTTTGCAGTATCTTGTAGATTTTAGAGATTAGATGCTGATTGGATTTGTCATAGCCAAAAATTTTTTCCCAGTGTAAAATGATTTTAAATACTAATAGGGTTTCTTCTGAGTACTTAGATGTATTTGAAGTTAATTTAAATACAAAATGGATAGCTAAGTTAGTATATGTCTTTAATAATATTTTGATTAACTTGTGTGTCAGGAAAGTAGATATCTGAATTATTGAAATTTCCAGTTAACTGAAGGTTTATCCACTTATGCACTGAAATTGCATAGGATAAGGATGTTGACATTAAGGGTAGGGATCTGTTTCTCAAGCTCTTTTTAGTTGTATAATTCTACAGAAGCCCTGTTCTGTGTCACTAAAAATAAATAATTTTATCAAATATAAAACATTTACAGAGCTTCAGGTTCATAATCAGATCATTAATTGCAGTATCAATATTCTTTGAAGGAAGCCTCGTAGAAGTACAGAGTTAAACTTATGAACCTTTTCTAGAGACAATGTTTCTTAGCTAAACAGCTAGATTTTCACAGAAAGTAGGATGTCTTGTTCCTGTGCTCAGGGTTTCAATGCTGATTGTGACACAGAAGTCATTGAGATGTTCCCTAGTTATTTGTGGGGAGGCAGATTTTAGAATGTTGTTAGATGATGAAAATGCATAAATATATGTGTACATATGTATATGTATGATGAGTACATAAGGTATTAGGGAGTCACTTAAAAAAATTCTTAAACATCCACGTTCTCTCAATCACTTATCGGTATACAAAAATTGAGAATAAAATCTGAATCTTCAAACTGGCCTTTTTTTTTTTCCCTCCACTAGATGAGTAGCTTTTAGTGTCTGGCTATTTCTTAATTTTTCATGAACCTTTCTGTTTTCTTTTCTATCAGTTTTTCTTCTTGGTCACAATTGTTCACAGTGATATGTGACTGTTAAGATAGATGACTGTTTATTTCCTTGCAGATGGAATTATAATTGTGACTTTTTTTTTCTTAAAGGAGGAATTCAGGGAACTTCGAGAACAAGCAACTGACCCTCAAGCTGAACAAGAACTAATTAATAGTATTGAACAAGT